GACTCCCTCTTCTCATTGGCTGACACAGAAGCAGGGGCCATTGGCTCCCACTGCTGTCAATCATAGCCAGTGAGCCAATGAGAAGAGAGAGGGACGAGCCACAGCTCCATGTGTGAATGGACACATGGATCAGGAGGTGCCCCCATAGCAAGCAGAAAGGATGGGCCAGGAGAGCCTGCGGGGAACCAGAGAAGAGGAGGATCCGGGCTGCTCTGTGCAAAACCACTGCACATAGCAGGTACATATCACATGTTTATTTTTTCTTTAAAAAAAAAAAAAAAAAAAACCTTTTAGAATCACTTTAATTGATGAGGTTTGTGGCAAACTCACTTTAACCCTTGCTGCTGCCCCTGTAAAAGGGTCCTAATGCTGGGAGGCGGAGGCAGGCTTCCCAAACATGTGACGGTGACCGCTGTGATTGGCTGTCACCATGGTCACATAATCAGGAGCTACCTGTCCTAAACAATGACTGGGAGCTGTCAGTGACAGCTTGCTCACTATGCTGGGGGGTGTGCAGTGAGTGCAGATTGGTGGTTCCCTATGGGAAATAAAGTTAAATGGAAAAAACAATTAAAAAGAGTGAAAAAAAAAATCAAAAGCCCCCCCCATTCCACTGATGTATCCATGTAAATGCATATGTAAACAGGGATTGCCATGTTCTCTGCCGGCTGTGTACCGCTCACTGTCACCTTACACCCTTACATCCCCTGCTCGCTCCTGCTCACCCTCTCTCCTGGTAGCAGAGGACCTGAGCCAAGCAGGGGGAAAGAGGATTTACTATGCAGCCACCATGGATTCTAGGAACTGTAGTCCTCAAAGGGGCATACAATACAAGTCAATGGAGGCTAATAGAGCTGCAGACTTAAATACCCAGGATTCCCTGCGCAACATAGGAGGGAAGACAAAAGACTTTTCCTAGGCAATTCTAGAGATTGGGGTCCTTTGTGAAAGGACGATGAGCTATACCGACCAAAGCCAGAGTTTTTGCCATGCCAGGGACCAGAAAGTGTAGACCCACCACTGGGCTGTCTGTGTACTATACCAGAAAGGACATAGACCTGCTGCTGGTGACTGAGCATAGCACTGGAGAGACTGAGCCATTGAGAGATTGCTTGCTGAGCTAGGACTGGAGCTGAAGGAACCTGTTGCCATGAGTACCTATAGAAGAAGCAAGGACCAGAGCTGAGAGATTGAACCTTGTGATAACCTCTTCATGAAGACTGAGTCACCGGGTCCTGGGTACCTGAAGACAACAGACCGTCAAGTGATCTGGACCGAATTCCTGTGCACCAGGAGGGGTGAGCTGAATCATCTGCATATCTCAGCACTGACACAGTTAAAGCAATAGAGACTGCTCCTTACTTAGCAGCTCATCGGCCATCCCTTGCACACTCTTAAAAGGACAACTTCATGTGCACCACCTCACAGAAGGCCCCAACGTCAGCCAGCGTAACATTTCACACTAGGCAACAGGTACAGTATCACTACAGAGTGCACTCCAAGTCACTTTCTTTGAATTGGTTGCTACAGAGTTACTGATAACCTGTAAGGGCTTTTAAGCTGTCATCTATGTACAATTTTAGGTGTCATAGTTTGTTGCCATTTCACAGACATGTGTAACTTTAAATCTTGACATGTTTGTATCTATTTTCTTGATACAACATCATCTTTTATTAACATATTGTGTTTTTGGGCACTAAAATAAATTTAGGTGATATTTTTTTTTTAATTTGAAAATTTGAGTTTGAGAAACAGCTGCTCAAATACCATGTGATGTAAAAACAAATTGCAACAGCCATTTTATTCTCCAGGACCTCTACTTTCAGAAAACCTATAGTGTTTGTGGGTTCTAGTTAATCTAGCAAAGAACGCATATTTTAACATGTATGTGAAAAATTCCAAAATTGCCCCAGATGGCAGGTGGTTAAAATAGTCAGGAACTGCTCAGCAACCAGCAACTGTTGAGACAATGCACATTTTGGTGAGAAGTACTGTATGTAACATCTAATATAGTGTATACAATGTAGAACTCTGTAGAAGAGAGTGTAGAGGTCAAGAGTATGTAACGCACCTCAGGAGTGTTGCAGTCAGCGCCAGGTTTAGGAGTTCATAACACACACAGAGCAGGGGTCAGGAGTATAAAATGAAAAGAGTGCAAGAGTCAGGGGTGGCTAACGCAATACTCTTCCCCACTTTACCCTTTCAGTAAAAATCACCACTCCCCCCCTCCCTAAAAATCCAGTATGAATCTGCAGGGCTTACCTCAATCACCCCTTCCAACAGAAATCCTCTGCCCCTTCTAGCACAAATTTTACTACCCAAAATCCCCCCCTACCAGAACAAATCCTCTCCCCATCCCCAGTACACCCTTTTAAGCACAATCCCCCCCCCCCCTTTACAAGTCCTCTCCCCCTTCTAGCACAAATCCCTCCTCCCAACTTCTCTCCCCCCCACCTTTCAACACAATCACACACTCCCTATTCACTCCTTCTAGCATAAATCCTCCAGCACAAATTTTGGTTACCTGTAACACCCCCCCAGGTTATAATGTCCCCCCCCAAACCTCAGACCTCAGATCAACATGGCTCACTCTAGGAGGACATCCTCCCGGGCTCCTCCTCCTCTTGTGTCATGATGCATGTCTGTGCGGAGGAGGAGCCTAGGGTAAGCTTTCCTCGGCTTTGAGGTGTATTATTGCAACAGGCAGCCAACATTTCATCCCGCTAGCTGCCCGTCACAATAATAGAGTGGGTGATCTCTGCAGCTGGGATCCATGGCACCCCGCAGGAGATTTGGGGTAGGTGCCCAGAGCATTCGGTGCTAGCCAGGTACATTAGTGGAGCCCAGTGCTGAAACTCATTCCAGCACTGGGCTCCAGGACTCCAGCCCAGCTCCAGGACTCCAGCCCAGCTCCAGGACTCCAGCTCAGCTCCAGGACTCCAGCCCAGCTCCAGGACTCCAGCCCAGCTCCAGGACTCCAGCCCAGTTCCAGGACTCCAGCTCAGCTCCAGGACTCCAGCCCAGATCCAGGACTGCAGCCCAGATCGTGGAGGCGGGATTTAGTTGAAATCTCAGAATGGTGGCACGAAATCCGGGACAGTTGGGAATTATGGGATCTTCCCTTACTTTTCAACTCACTTCCTGTTGTGTCTTAAAAGGACATAACCAGCATAAAAAACTAACAAATGATGGTGGGGGGGGGATTCTAAAGAATTCTTCCTCTATGAAAAAAAAAAAAAAAAAAAAAAAAAAAATGTTTAACCTGGATATATTCAAAGATTGGACGTCTCATAACCACCCTGGTATGATTCACTCAGAGCCTTGTCACGCTTTCTGTCTCATTAAAAGAATGTTATTGCTTCAGGGAAATCGTTTTTTTTTCTGTGTCTTTATTAGTGTTTATTGTAAACGGTATTTTCCTTATAACTCGTAACAATAGAGAACAAGAAAATCTTTCATTGTTTTCAGACAACAAAAGGTTCCGGTGTATACAATATAAAAGGACAGTCTAACCTGTCATCATTCTGGTAATACATCCATGTGTTACAATCTGAATGGACAATTTCTGTACAATCTCCTTTAAGATGAGTGTGCAATATGACTGTACAGTCTCCTTTTAGGTGAATGTGTACTCAGTACAATCTGATTGTACAATCTCCTTTAAGTTGAGAGAGGAATGTCCATTCTAATTGTACAATATCCTTTAAGATTGCACAGTATGCACTCGTCCTAAAAGAGATTGTACAATCTCCTTTAAGAGCAATATGCACTGTGCAATCTGATTGTACAATCTCTTTTAGAATGTGTATACTGTACAATCTGTACAATCTCTTTTAGAATATGTATACTGTACAATCTCCCTTAAGCCTAGTGTGCACTGTGCAACCTGATTGTACAATCTCCTTTATTTATTTCAGGTACTTTTATAGCGCTGTCAATTTATGCAGTGCTTTACATATATATTGTACATTCACATCAGTCCCTAACCCTCAAGGAGCGTACAATCTAAGGTCCCTAACTCACATTCATACATACACATACTAGGGACAATTTAAACGGGAGCCAATTAATCTCCCAGCATGTCTTTGGAGTGTGGAAGGAAACCGGAGTACCCGGAGGAAACCCACGCAGGCACAGAGAGAACATGCAAACTCCAGGCAGGTGGTGCCGTGGTTGAGATTTGAACCAACGACCCTAGTACTGCCAGGCAGAAGTGCTAACTATTTAGCCACTGTGCTGCCCAAGATGAGTATGCACTGTACTATCTCCTTTTAGTATGAGTGTATACTGTACAATCTGATTGTACAGTCTCCTTTAGGTTGAGTATACACTGTGCAACCTGACTGTACAATCTCCTTTAAGATGAATGCATACTGGACAATCTAATTGTACAAGCTCCTTTAAGATAAGTATGTACTGTACAATCTCGTTTGATATGAATATGCACTATACAATCTGATTGTGCAATCTTTTAGGGATGATTATATTCTGTACAATCTGATTGTGCAATCTCTTTTAGGGATGATTATATTCTGTACAATCTCCTTTTAAGATGAGTGTATACTGTGCAATCTGATTGTACAATCTCATTTAGGGATGATTGATTATATTCTGTACAATTGCCTGGTCATGCAACTCTGCACCCAAATGAAATTTTTACGTCCTTTTTTTCCCCACGAATTGAGCTTTCTTTCGGTGGTATTTGATCGCCTGTGCGGTTTTTATTTTTTGCGCTATAAAAAAAAAAGACCGACAATTTTGAGAAACACAATATTTTTGACTTTTTGCTATTAAAAATGTCCAGTAAAAAAATTTTTAAAAATCAAATTTCAACATACATTTAGGCTAAAATATATTCTGCTCCATGTCTTTGCTAAAAAAAAAGTCCCAATACGTGTAAATTAATTGGTTTATGTGAAAGATATAGCGTTTACTAATGGCGGTATAGATACTGGAAATTTTTTATTTTATTTTTACTAGTAATGGCGGTGATCAGTGACTTATAGCAGGACTGCGGCAGACATTCTGACACTGGGGGGAACTGACTTGGTGTCACTGACATCCCCAGTGACACCAATACAGTGATCAGTGCTAATAAAAAGCACAGATACTGTACTAATGGCACTGGGCAGGAAGGGGTTAACATCTGAGGCGATCAAAGGGTTAATTGTGTGCTGTGTGCTTTTACTAGGAGCTATGTCTGTGTGCTTCACTGTAAGCACACAGCTTTGTATGGCTCTGCTATGCAGAGCCATGCAAAGCAGTGTGAAGGAGCTGACGGGAGAGAACTGTTTTGTTTACTAACAGTTCTCCCCCTCGTTGGAGATGCATGGCAATCACCAGGTGCCGGCGAGTAATCACCGGCCCAGACCCGATGATTTACAGCGAATGGCGGCCACGGCAAGGTGCGTGCGCCCAATACCTGGAAATGCAAAATCACAAATATATATGTGATTTTGCGCACCCGTGCCACCCTGTAGCAGTATTTCTGCTTTAGGGTGGATGGGAAGGCTCAAACCCACGGGTATCAAACTGGCGGCCCTCCAGCTGTTGCCAAACTACAAGTCCCATGAGGCATTGCAAGATTGATAGTTACAAGCATGACTCCCAAAGGCAGAGGCATGATAGGACTTGTAGTTTCGCAACAGCTGGAGGGCCGCCAGTTTTACACCCCTGATCTAACCCTTCTCCAAAATAAAAAAAAAAAAAAGGTTTTGGTTGGAGTTTCACTTTAATATGTAAGACAACAGCAAATCACCAACATATATTTTGTACATACAATCAGCAATAATAAAGATGTATTGGCGGCCATACACACTTCCATAAATGATGGATTTCTTTTCTGATCCATCTCTCCCGAAAGAAACAATCGGTCAATAGTTGACATCCCATTCAATCCATATGACACACATGGAGGTGGATTCAGATCGATGGAAGACGCGATTGTAAGTTATTGATTCTTTGTATTCCCTATGCTACCGCATATACTGATCGAAATATAAATAAACAGCGCAAATCAAAACCCCCTCATACAATGAATAACATAAATTAATTGCCATACAGTGCAAAAATCAATATAAATATAAAATAATAAAGTATCCTCAAAAAAATTCATTTTTAAATTATTTCAATCATATTAAAGTGTCCAAAAATATATAAAAATTAAATAAACAAAAGTCCTTTCTCCCACATAAATAGTGTTTTTTTTGTAAAAAACTTTTCAAAAAAGATTGTGCTTCCACCATCCACCAGTGAAAAACCAACATCAACCGCACTCACCAGATGATGGTGAGTAATGCGCCTTTTAGGATTTTAGGGATCCTAAACCCCCATTATAGCCTCCAGGACTACTTTCCACCATATAAGAATTAGGATTCTCCTTCCACTCGCTCCTGCCTTCTCCTTTCACCAAACTCCACAGCAGTGCAGGGTAAATAGCAGTATCACACTATTTTATATTTTTTTTCCCTTGCACTGCTGTGGAGTTTGGTGAAAGGAGAAGGCAGGAGCGAGTGGAAGGAGAATCCTAATTCTTATATGGTGGAAAGTAGTCCTGGAGGCTATAATGGGGGTTTAGGATCCCTAAAATCCTAAAAGGCGCATTACTCACCATCATCTGGTGAGTGCGGTTGATGTTGATTTTTCACTGGTGGATGGTGAAAGCACAATCTTTTTTGAAAATTTTTTTTTTAAAAACACACTATGTGGGAAAAAGGACTTTTGTTTATTTAATTTTTATATATTTTTGGACACTTTAATATGATTGAAATAATTAAAAAATAATTTTTTTTGAGGACACTTTATTATTATTTTATATTTATATTGATTTTTGCACTGCATGGCAATTAATTTATGTTATTTATTGTATGCGGGGGTTTTGATTTGCGCTGTTTATTTATATTTCTTTTACTAATTGGTTCATTATACCTGTGCGCAACAGTAATCTATACCCATATTATACCCTTAGAGGTTTTTTTCTGTGTGCTGGGGTTTGTTATATATTCGCATATACTGATCGATTGAAATACAATCAGATTAGTTACCAAAGCATCTAACGCTGCTGAGTGATGCAGGACAATCGGTCATTTTCTGCCCTGGCTTGCCAATCGACTTAGTTTGATCAAATGTGATGTAACACACATATAAATCATTTGGAGACGAGGTTATGTCTATTCGACTGTTTGCCAATTCGATCACAATAATTGAATTAAAAAAAACCCACATTATTATTATTATTATACAGTATTTATATGGCGCCAAAGGGTATGCTCAGCGCTGTACAGTAGCAAGGGGAACATAACATGAGACAAGACAGTAACAATACACTACACGAGGGGTTCGAGGGCCCTGCTCTTTCGAGCTTACAATCTAGGAGGGAGGGGAAGGTGTCACAGGAGGAGATGGCTGTGGGGGATGGAGTGGAGGAGGTTAGTTGTTAGGTGAGGTCGGGTGTTAGGTGAGGTTGGGGTAGGCTTCCCTGAAGAGGAGGGTTTTCAGGGTGCGCCTGAAGGTGAGGAGGGTAGGTGACAGTCTGATGGATTGGGGTAGGGAGTTCCAGAGGATGGGGGGGAAGTCCTGCAATCGGGCATGGGAGGAGGAGACCAGGGAGCTAGAGAGCAGGAGGTCCTGTGAGGAGCGGAGGGCACGGGTAGGGTAGTATCTGGGTATCAGGTCAGTTATGTAGTTCGGGGCGGCATTGTGAATGGCCTTGTAGGTCAGGGTTAGCAGCTTGAACTTGATACGTTGGGCAATCGGGAGCCAATGAAGGGATTGGCAGATATGGAGCGCTTGGTGAGGTGGATGAGTCTGGCCGCTGAGTTTAGAAAAGACATAAAAAAAGACAAAAAAAACCACAGGCAGACTCAATGGACCACTCGGTCTTTTTCTGCCATCACTTTTCTATGTTTCTAAGTGTGTGTGGCCACCATTCATTGCTATATCTCTAAATACCACTTCCTTAAATACAATAAGTGACAAATTCAAAAAATCAATTAAGACAAAACTTAAATCCCCATAGCACAAATAACACCTTCACCCTTGAAGATATAAAACAATAATATGAAAATGTGCCAAAATTATACAAACTAATATTTATACAATCCGCCCCATAAAACAAATATATATATACTATAAATGTTCAAAATAAAAAAAGTCCAAAAAAAGTGAATATAAATCCAAAAATTATGAAAAAAAAAAAATGAAAATGAAAATCCTTCCAATCCTTTCTCACGATAATAAACCTCAAAAAAAAGAAATATCACATAGTGTATTATCTTTATAATACAATACAATATTCGTGACAAGCTACCATCCAGGAAACATCATGCTGGATGTTTCCTGGATGGTAGCTTGGCGGTTTTTACGGTATTTGAAAAGCGGTTTTGAATTATCTAACAATGTGAGCAGTTAGAATAAAGTGTCTTTCTGAATATTACGGTATTGGCGGTATTACACTATTTGTCCCTCATATGCTTTTGTTTATATGGTGCCAATGATATGGAGACATGGAATATCCTGCTTAAATAGTGCCTTGAATGCAGTGGAATCTGGGGGAGCACTATAGGAGGGTCCCATCCATATGATACTATAAAATACTGAAAGCAGGTTTATTGAGGAGTGTTGGTAAGGGTATGCATTCCTTACTATAATAGAAGTGGCACGGTGTGGATTTGTTTTGGAGCACTGTAAAAGTGATTCACAGTACACAGTGTTTTGCACCATTTTTTTGAATTTATGTTTGTTCACTTGATTCACTTTTTACACTATTTACCAAAAGGAAAAAAAAAAATTATATTCCTATTTGGATAATCACCAGAGTGTTGTCACGAATATTGTATTGTATTATAAAGATAATACACTATTTGATATTTCTTTTTTTTGAGGTTTATTATCGTGAGAAAGGATTGGAAGGATTTTCATTTTTATTTTTTTCATAATTTTTGGATTTATATTCACTTTTTTTGGACTTTTTTTATTTTGAACATTTATAGTGTATATATATATTTGTTTTATGGGGCGGATTGTATAAATATTAGTTTGTATAATTTTGACACCATTCATTGCTATCCAACCATACCGGACACCCTTGTAAACTTTGTGTCTGTACCTGCTCACTCTGCTACATCATGATGGCAGGATCAGACCCCTCTGTGTCCTGGTACAGACTGATGACTCTCTGATAGAGGACGGAATACACAATGGGATCCAAATTCAATTGTCTCCTGACAGGTACACTGGCCATACATTTTACAATTTTTTTCAATTTCCATTAGATTTACCTTCAGCTGTGGAGTGCAAGGGCCTGCCTGATTGCATACAAATTGAAAGTGTTCAGGTTTGACCTCCTATTATATGATTTTGGTAAACCTAAAGGGAAATTGTACAAGAAAATTGTATAATGTATGGCCATCCTTTGAGGTGCAGGAACACCATACAATGTATATATACATTTCCTTCACAGAGAATGCTGACAATTTTCTAAAATGAAAGTATCATTTTTTTTTCAGTTATGGATAGATTGAAGAGGAATAAGAACCACTGTTAGGTTGGCTGCTGTCCCTGTTAGGTTAGGGTCATATCAGCCCATGCTCTGAAAAGTGATGGCTTTTCAGAGTGCAATTAAACAGCCGCCGTCAGCCGTTCAGTAGGCAATCCTGAAACAGGCTGAATTTTTTCAGGCACTTCGTAAGAGGGCTAATGTGCTGCAAATGTGAGCAGCTATGGTGTGGCTCCATTGACTTGTATGGCCAAAGTGACAGGTGGTGCTGTCTGTCAACTTGGCATGGTGCATTAAATTAGCCTCCGCCTTGATGCAAAGTATGTGAACAGCCTCCTCCAGCTATATTTTACACTTTAGGTGGCTGGGGCAGGGGGCTGAGAAATCCACTTCTAAGTGGCCTGTTTTTACCGCCCCCAAGTTAAAAAGGCATTAGGGCAGGGGTGTCAAACTCCATTTCGTCACGGGCCGCATCAGCGCTCTGGTTGCCCTCAAAGGGTCGGTTGTATCTGTTAAGCCTAGTACACAGCATCAGAAAATCATACGATCAATACCGCTTTCGAAGCGATTGTACGATAATCTGATTGTTAATACACGGCTTTCATCTGAAATTTTTTAAAGGGACAAGCACAAAAATGTTTCTTGTACGATACCAGATCGTACGATTTTCGTTTGATTAGTACAGATTGCGTTTGAAAAATACAATACAAATACATTATATCACTTCCAAATTTTTCTTTCTGTTGTACTAGAATTTTCTTTATTTTATTACAAAAATCCGTTATCTCAATACTCCTAATTTACAAAGAAATATTTTCCGTTTCCTATTTCACCCAAACTCCACCCCCCCATTCCAATCCTCTCCCCCCAACCACCCCTACCCCTTTTTTTTCCCTTTATCGCCCCGTACTTTAGTAACCTCTTCACTTTCCATATGAGACCA